TAGATATATTGGTTTGTACCTCTGAGTTATAACTGCTTTAATCTAAAATATTCAAGAAGGCTTAATTCCTCCAGCCATACAGGCAGCTGGGGAATTGGGCAGTACCAAAGGAGTAGGAAACAGAGAATAGGATTTCTTTATTTGCCTGAAGTCAAGCACTTTTGATTTTCCCTCATAAATTTCACAAATATTATCTTATGACCTAATAGTTTTCTAACAGGTAAGTATTATCTTCAGGCCATAAAAGTAAACTGCAGTTCAGCTATTTTAACCAACTTTGTGCTTCATCAGAAAACATCACAATGCAGTATTTATTTTTTTCCCTTTTTTATTAAAAAGAAACTTAGTATTCTTAATTACTATTCTTAAGTAATATTGCTTTGAATAATTTTGTACCTTTAGTAAATTAATTAGTAACTTCCAAAATTATTTTGATATTAATTATCAGTGGAAAATACCCATATCCATCATTATATATTTTTCCCTTCACTTAGCTAAAACTAATGGTAAATAAGTAAGATGCATGCTCTTAATTCATTTTAGATTTTCAAAGTGTGCAGCTCACAGCTGGAGTTACACAGTGGATGAGCAATGGGCTCACGGGTCAGGCACAAAGGTCACAGTGAATGGGGGGACACCAGGCTGGGGACCTGTCACTGCTGGGGTTCCACCAGCCTCCATCCTCAGCCTGGTTCTCTTCAGCATCGTCTTAAATGACCTGGGTGCAGGACTTGAAGGAATACTAAGGGAGTTTGCTGATGGCACTAAAGTGGGAAGGAACTGTCTACTCCCTCAAAGGCAGAGAGGTCCTGCAGAGATATCGACACTTTGGAAGGATGGGCAATCAAGTTTAAAAAACTATCAAGTTTAAAAAGGGCAAGGGCCAGATTCTGCAGCTGCAATGGGGCAATCCTGGTTGTGTGTACAGCTGGAGAACGAGGCTGCAGAGCAGCAGTGAAGTTGGACTTGCCTGGTTGAAGGCAAATTGAATGTGAGCCAGCAGTGCCCTGGCAGTGGGAGAGACAACCCTGTCCTGGGGGCATCAGGCACAGCAGCACCAGCTGGGAACTGGAGTGGCCTCATCTCAAGTGCTGGGGGCAGTTTTGGACACCACAATATAAAAAAAAAACCACTGAGACATTAGAGAATGTCCAAAGAAAGGCCAGGGAAATCCGTATCAGGAGCATCTGAAGCCACTTGGTTTGTTCAGCCTGGAGAAAAGGAGACTGAGGGGACACCTCAGTGTGGTTTGCAACAACCTCCAAAGGGGCAGGCTCCTCACTCTTGTGACCAGTGACAGGAGCCAAGGAAACAGCCTGAAGCTGTGTTGGGGGAGGTTTAGGTTGGATATTAGGAGCAGGTTTTCCCCCAGAGAGTGGCTGGGCACTGGAACAGGCTCCCCAGGGAAGCGGTCACAGAGCCAAGCCTGGCAGAGTTCAAATGTCTGGATAACACTGTCAGGCACAGGGTGTGATCCTTGGGGTGTCCTGTGCAGGGCCAGGAGTTGGACTTGGTGATCCCAATGGGTCCCTTCAGACTCAGCATAATCTATGATTCTATGAACCTGAAAGAAGGTGGGGTTAGATTAGGCTTTAGGAAGAAATTCTTTCAATGAAGGTAGTGAGACACTGTGAGAGATTTCCCACAGAAGTTCCCTGGAAGTTTTCAAGGCCAGGTTGGATGAGGCTCTGAGCAATCTGGTCTAGTGGAAGGTGTCCCTGCCCACGGCAGAGAGGTCAGAACAAGATGAGTTTAAAGTCCCTTCCAATCTAAACCATGCTGTGATTCTTTGATTTATAAAAGACTCCAAATATAAGTTTTTTGTTTTGTTTTTCATTGTTTCTTCTGCTTGAAGTAGTTGCAATTTAATATACTATAATATATAAAATATTATAAGAAATTATACTCTCATTTAACTAGAAATAGTACAGGAAAGGGATTTTAGTATATGTGGATCTATATCTCTGTAAATACTTTAGTCTCCTAACTAATTTTTTAAAGGATAAGGACATTTTGCTCTTTAGACAATTTTGACAGTCTTTACACTAGATTATAAGGTGGGGGAAAAAAAAAAGTCTGTGGGAATATGGGAATAAATTTGGGTTTTTTGCTGTGTAGTAGCTTATTTCAAAAGACCGTACCTAAGATGCTGAGTTTTTATTATACTGTGACATTAACCTAAAAATATTTAATGCTTGTACGTTTCTTTTGCTGTGAACTGTGCAAAATCCACTGATATTTAGAATAAGGTGTTAGAACAGGCACCCTGGTGTTCTTTTGACTGACACATCCCTTGTAGCTCTGTACAGACCTTGGTCTTACAGTCAGCCTTCTTTGCCCTTTCCTTTTTGCATATTTTTCCACCCAAGTCAGCCCATATACACTTCCTCAGAAGGAAGGCTTGTGATATTTTCTCCTTAAAACTCCACAGACTATTATTATGGCTGCAATCTGACTGTCAAGGACATTGCTGATCACAAGCTCATTAGAAGCAGAAATAGCTTGTCCCATGAGTTTCATTCTACAGTGACTCATGTGCAATGCTTCTGGAAGGGCTTTCATCACCCAAAACCAAATCCTGATGAGAAATGAACCTCATGCAGCCTGACACAGACCATTCATAATGCTATCAGAAGTAGTTTAAGAGCCCTCAACTACAGAAAAGTTTTACAGTCTATCTTCTATTTTCCATCACAGACATTAGGAGAATGAGTCCTCCAGTGAAAATTAAGGTTATCAGAAAGATCTGTGTGCAAACTAATTTGAGGAGGCCAGAAGAGAAGAAAAATTACTTCTGAAAAAAATGGAGCAAATTAAATTATAAGAGGCTTAATACATTTATTTGAAATTTAATTGCATAACCTAATGTCAAGGTTATTATATGGCACACACTGTTCTGATCCAAATTCAAAACAGTAAAGTACAATCTCAGTTTATTATATAGCCAACTGCATTTTTTCTTTTCAATACTAAGCATAGTCTTTCCCTGAATCACAATATTAATAAAAATTCACATTTCAAAATTATTTTGAGATGTCTTTTTGGCAATGAACTCAGTTAAAATCTGAAGCCTCTTTGATATGACTGACTTCTACAGTGAAAAAAAGGGTAAAAAGAAAAACAAAAGCTGAGGCAGTGTTGACATGATGTCAGAATATAGTGCAGAAACAAAATGATTAGAATGAGATTCTGACTGTATTCACACAGTTCTGCACTGATTCCTTCAAGCCTGCAGGTTTTGTTTTCTAGTCACAAGAGAGACAGGTTAGCAGTAAAGGTCGCAGCATTTCTCTTAGAGCATCTCCATGGAAAATGCATTCTGTGTTTTCCCGTGTATTGGAAGCTGTGTCTGTGCAGAGAGCACACTTGTAAGCGTTCAGGCTGTGTCCAGACTCTGTACTCCCAGTCAGTCACTCCTACCTGAATCACACAGCCTGACCTTAGGAGCTTTTTTTGTCTGTTATCAGATCTCCAAGTGCCTGAGTAACACTGGATAAGAATGAACTTTTCTGCTGGTTTTGACTGGGTTAGAACTAATTTTCTTCATTGTAGCTAGCATGGGCTATATTTTGGACTTGTTCTGGGAGCAGTGTTGGTAATTCTGGTGTGTTATTTTTATTGCTGAGCAGTGCTCTTGCACAGCTGAGGCTGCTTTTCACACTGCCCCAGCTGGGGGTGCACAGCTGACCCCAACTGACCCAAGGGATATTCCTCAGCATACAGCACCACACTCAGTGTGTAACACTGGAGGGAGAAGAAGGAAAGGGCTTTTGAAGCGATGGTTGTCTTCACAAGTCATCAGTAAGGGCAAAGGAGCTCCTCTTTCCTGAGGATGGATGAACACCTGCCTACCTGTGGGAAGTAGTGAAGGAATTCCTTGTTTTGCTTTGCTTCTGCATGCAAGTTGTGCTTTACTTATGAAACTGTCTTTATATCAACCCATGAGATTTCTCATTTTTACTCTTGCAATTGTTTCCCCCAACACAATTTAGTGGGAGTGAGCAGGTGCCTGTGCAGTGCCTACTTGTCAGCTGGGGTTAAACCAGGACATTCTTAGAATACCTTTGTGCATTTAACTGTGTGCCACTGTGATTCTCATGGAAACCTCTGTGCAAACACAGTCTAGGTTTGTAGCAGGATCATGTAAAAAGCACCATCTGTTGTTATTTCTGAAGGAACATGGAATAAAGGCATAATAAATAACTTTGACACTCAGCCTGAAATTATAATCTAAAATTAAGAGGTTTAAAATCATCAGCTCAATATTAATTTGGCCAGATTGGTAATTAAAAAAATCAATATTGCACATTTTAAAATCATGTCACTTATTTTTAAGTAAAGCCTATAATGAGTAAAGAAGATAACTTATTGCTTGACCAGGAAGGGGCCTCTTTCAGCAATACTGAATATATACATTCAATATATATTTATATTGTAGTTATATATATATATTAGTGTAGTGAAAGAGTATTGAAAGTATATTGAAAGAAGAGGTGAAGTTATTAAAAGTATGGAAAGGTATTCTAAAGAAGAGTCTATGACTCCCAAGTCATGCAGATAACCAAATCCTTCTGTACTGCATTTTCTTGTTTGCTTTGGGTTTTTTCCCCCTTTACATAAGAAAAAGACAACTTGTAAAAATCTTTTCTAGGATTCTGTTTCAGTGTTTGGAATAAGTACACTTTTAACTGATAGCAACCATCACTCAGATGTCTTCTCTGTAATCATTCCTTGTCTGTCAAAACAAACAGATGTCTTGTGTACAACTCAGAGCTACATCCCTGGCTCTGTGAAGCTCCCTAGGAGCTTCTGAAGAGAAAAGTTCACTTTATTCTCTAGACACCCTGACTGAGATGGTTTACTGAATTAAATAGCGTGCCTATTCATAGCCAGTAATCCCTTCTGTAGTAGATATATAAACAACATGTTTGTAAGACTACTGTTAACATTTCAAAGAGGAAAAATTCAAGAAGGTTAAAAGGAGAAAAACTGAAGCTTACCCCAAACTCGTCCCTCCACTGATGTGAGGCTTGGTACTTCTCTGCTTCTTTAGCAAGGCGCTGAAGAACAAAGAGAGAGAGGGCATAAATTTTAGTCTTTATTGATTCTTCACACAGAAAAGTCTTTCTCTTTTATGTTTTTCCTATGCATCTTTTCTCTCCATAAATTTTATATCTATGCTTTTTGTATTTACTTGAAAATTATGTATACTTGAGTCAAGGTGAACCATCTCATCTAAAAAATACTATTTTCTGTATCATTTGATATTTAAATATGGCAATGCATTAGAAAACTTAATCCTTACTCCAATATAATTTTAGAAGTTCTAGTTAAGTTCAAAATCCATCAACATCCTGCTGAAAATACTCTTTTTACACACACTACCTTGTCTTCTGTGCATTAATTTAATCTATCTAATGACAATTATATATTAAAATATTAAAACACTATGTTATGAACATTCATTTCTCTGTTTTATCATTTAGGTTTAATTATAGAAACTACTGACAGCCCTGTGATTTTTAGGGATTCATAAAAGTCCCAAAAATTTGGGACTAGCTGGAGTCTGAGCTCATGGATTAAATTAGCAGCTGGAGACTAACAGGCATGTTCCTAGAGAGCGTTTTTCCCATATTTAGAAATTTAAATAAAATCCAGTCCATTCACTTAGCCCCACAGGAAATAAAGCACAGTGTATGGGAATTTGCTCTTTCAAATCCATTTCTTGTACAATACATCCATTAGACTGGATGATGTGTTCCCCCTCAAACAGAATTTGAAGTCTTTGAAAAAAAGCTGTTTGGACACAATCCTTAGGACTTTACTACAATTTTGCATATAGAAGTTGCCAAGGTAATGCACGTAATCCAGCTAAGCTGCACACCAAACCCCCATCCCACAGATCCAGCCATCCCTAAAGCAGGCCAGCTCTCTCTGAAGCAGCAGCTACCTGATGTGAATGTAGTTCATGTGGACTCAGCCATGTGAATTGTTGAGTGACTTTCTTTTAGAACTCAATTATTTTACAGCCCAATAAAAATTTTATCAACTCTTTTTAGGGAGTCATGGTCCCATTCCAACAGACACAGCCTGACTATGTCCACCAGATAAGCAGGGTTGAAAATGCTTACTGTGTAACAATAAGTCTTATGACCCTTTTAATATTCAGACCAATCCCTACACAAAATGAACTGGTGTCTAAGTCAGACTTTTGAGTTGAGTCACCTTGTCAGTTCTTGTTAACACCAAAAGGAATATGACCAGAAAGTCCATGAAAGCTGGAGTTCCAGACATGGTGCTGTCAGATCCTCCCCTCAGACCTGTCCCAGATTGCAACTGCCTGCTCCACCTCATCCCCTGAGGGCAACCCTGCTCCCTGCTCAAACAGGGATGATTGATACACAAATCAGAACTCAGGATCTCTTCCTTGTTTTTAGGTTTGAAATCATTCTTTAAAAACAGAAAAAACCTCAATAAACCTGTGTGTGCTACAGCCACAAAACGTGTCACGACTCAATTGGTTTTTGTCAGTTAAAATGATTTTTATATAATAGAAAGCTACCAGCACCTTACAAGCACAGCTCACTGGAGATACATCCACAATAACCAAAGTAACCAAAGAAAAACTATAATATAATTTCATACATAATAGTGGAAAAAAACACAGTTCAACTCTCTTGACTGTACTGGACAAACACCTACAGCATTTTCATTTTTTTGGTAATATACTAGAACAATTTTGTCCATCTAATTTATTCACTCAATCTAGCCCATTCTGCATCTAAATTTCTATATCCTCTGATAAATTCAAGATCATTAAGCCATATTTCACCAGATTGTAGCAAAGTGATATAAAGCAAGATATAACACTTCCTATATGTGTAAATAGCTGCAGTCAACACTGCCCTCAGATTTCCCTCACACTCTGTTCCATTGCCTTAAGGTGCTCTGAGGAACACAAAGGACAGCAGACCCCAAATGCACAACATAATAGATGGATTATGGAAAGAGAAATATACACTCATCATTAACACTACCAAGAATTTTCTGTGGAAAGAACTGCAGCCATGCTCGAAGTTCCTTACCTCCACTTGGATGTTTCTTAGCTAATCTGCACTATAAGGTGAAAATGCTTAAAGCAAATTAAAGATAAAAAATAAAAATAAAAAAATAAAAAAGAAAGTTTTGGGTTGCTTTCTCTTGTTACAAATTAAGAAAAAAATAATATCCCTCACAAAATAGACATTATATTCTTATTCTCCTTTAGAATTTTCCAGTAAGGTTTCAGTTAGAATACATCCTAATTTCCCAAACAACATTCTAAAATGACCCTACATGCAATACTTACAACATTTTACACCTTAAAATAGTCTCAGTTAAAAAATGAGAGGCTGGCATTCAGGACATGTGAACAGAGCTCTGTTAAAGGTAATCAAGCTCATACGAAAGTCCAAGCAAACTGTTTAAGAAGCAGTAATAACCAGTGAGAAAACAGATGTTCCTTGACTCCTAGAACCCCAAACCCAACACCATAATGGAAGTACACGTGACAATAAGACAGGACCATGCATACAGGTTCCAGCAAATGATTTAGATACCTTTCTTATTTTTTCATTTCTCATTTTTTCATTTTTTCACTGCTTAACTGAAGAATCTCTGCATTTTGCTCTACTAACTGAAAATTAGTATATTTTTGTTGTTGTTCTAGTTATTTGATCAATTTTTTTTAAATTTCATCTGCAATGTATCCAATACTTTAGTTGGAATGTATATTTAGAGTGTACTTCATATTACCCAACACTCCTTGGCCAAAAATAACCGGGCAGTTAACTCAAGTTACTTGGGCTTTTTGTTGTGGCAAAAGGAGAGACTAATTTTTCATCTCTTAAAGAAATCATGCCTGCTTCCTTTTGAGGTATGCAAATGTCAGGTCTGGCCTTCCCTGTTTTGATGGAAGAGTCTCTGGGGAATGCTGACAGAGAAGCTGCACAACAGCCGGCTGTCACCTGGCACTTCCCATTTTCCATCTCATTACAATGAGGGTTTAATAAGGCAACAGCTTCTTTAACACCACGACCCACTGCAGCTCCCTACAGGTTTCTCCAGCAAAAATTAAAATGCTGGGATATAAATTTTTATGCAATAAAATTAAAAAAATAAGAAGAAATGGTTTAAAACAATATTCTTGTATAATTTAATAATTTCTTCCTCCATGCCCTCTGTAATGTTTGCTGTGTAGATGAAAGCTGTGAGATGTTTTCCTGCCTTGAACAAAGATCTATTTATCTTTTTGGATACAGAGAGGAAGAGCAGAACAACACTAAAAATGGGGAAAGAAACAAAACTAACATGTAACAGAAGTGTTCTGACTCACTTCAACATATTTAAAGAACCCTAATTTGTGCAGTCTGCTTATTATTTTTTTACTCTGAAGACATATTTACTCTGAAGTAATAAATAAGTTGAGAAACCACAACCAGGGAGAGAGGGCTGCAAAGGCTAACAGAATGCTGTAGCATCTATTCATGTCTTTTGGAGGATGCCCAACAGCTGCCTGATGGTGCTTTTTAAGTAAGGGATCAGAGGAGCTGATGCCAGATTTAGCCAGTGTGATTGACAGAGTAGCTGATGTCAAATTTAAGGTGCTTGGAAACACTTTGATTACATATGTAATTTTTTGAATAAATTTTCCTATATTGAAAAAAAACTTCTTTTTTTTATATATATACATTAAACTTTTTTTTTTTAATTATTAATGAGAACTGCTTTCTCTTCTTTTTCTTTTTTTCTTTTTTTTTTTTCTTAGTAAGGTACAGTGTGCACTATTTTCAGGAATTTCCAGAATACTTAGCTCATCCATAAAAAAAAATAATTATCCCTTATAAATCAGTCATAATGAGTCATAATGAGTCATAAATCATCATTACTCATAAATAAGTATTTTTAATCAAACTTCTAAAGGAGTCAAGAGGTACCTTCCACTAGATTTCCCTATATCTTTCAAAGAGAAAGGTTATCTTCAAAGGAAAACAGCTACTGAAAAGCTAGATAATGTGCAAGTATTAATTCACTCCACCAGCCTATGAATCTTTCTTTAACTTTTAAAGGGATTATAAAATATTATACACACATAAACACACACATAAATAATAGAAAAGAAAAACAACAACTAAAAAAGATGCAAAGCCCAGCTGCTTGTCCATCTCGAAACCCTCTATTTTCAAAGGTCTTGTCCCCAGTTTCCAAGTCCATGTTGCTATCTCTGAAAGGCAGCCTTTGATGCAGCGCAGACTGCAAGAATCTTTATCTGATCTGTAAAGATCAACTCCCTAGAAGGTCTATTCTTCTTCCACCCTTCATTATTTTTTTATGTATATGTCATATTTTTATCTCCTCCTTGCCAGCACAGGATTCTGTCAGCAAAATTGAATTAATATTCAGTACAATGAAAAAAATTTGGGGGTGCTTCCTATACTTCTTTAAGTGTTTTTTTTTTTAAATAATATTCAACTACTTCTTGATATATTAAGCTATTATAAAATGTATAATCTTAAGAGTTAACAGATATCACTAGCCTCACAAACTTTCTAAATCCAAGGATATTTTAGGTTATTTTAAGAAAATAAGTACCATGAGAAAATATGTCAATATAAACACAGAATACACAATGACCTTCAAGTCCTGACTATAAAATATCCAAATATTCAAACCTCTTCTTGCATGAACAGCACAAAAGCCACAAGAAGTATGTGTGAATGTGGTTTAATACATAGTTTTCATATATGCGTCTGAAATACAAATAGTTTTTTTTTCCATAGTTGATTATGAATTGTATATGAATTGCAAGATGAGGAAGATATTTTGTAAGACTCATATATTGGTGTCTGAAGTGTCAATGCAAGACTGATACTGTTATTTCACTACAGATTTAACACAGACTGACAAAGCCTAAAGGATTACATTCTCATCTCAGTAAGCTATTACAGTCTATAGACTGTAATTAAACCAACTCAGAACTATTCTACTTGATCCTAGTGTCTTTACATGCAGAGCATATGTT